AGTATAAATTCAAATAAATCCAAATACAAAAGTAAAGAAAATCGGCTATAAAACGCTCTTACATTCCTACATAATTTTGTACTGTTTTTCATGCATATCACATAAATATATGTTTAACTGTAATCAGTAAACTTTTTGGTTTGTTGTTTAAAAGTTAACAGACTTATACTTTTTTTTTAACCACCACTTTGAGGTCAACTGTATTTCCCATTAGACGAATGGCTACTCTCATATTTTCTCGACGTTTCATGACCTCTAAAGTACGAAAAAAGATCTCCCGTTTTCGTCTGTCTGTCTCTCTGCCTGTCGTTTGTATCAATTTCTATTAGACCGATTGTTGTAAAATTTATGGTACATTAGGAATAGTGTCATGTACAGGAGCCTCCAAATTCAAAAGTTATCAAAAGTTGGAAAAGTGATAAATAGTTGGTAAATCATGCACCGTCTACATTAAAAAAATTAACTTGTACAGTAAAAACGGTAATGTGGAAAATTGCTGCTATTACCTAACCTGCTTAAGAAAGTTAGATTAGGGCAGTGTCAAATTTTAACAATAATCCATAATAATAATAAGTTTAAATTTCACTGTCAAGTATGATAATTTTGACAACAAGAAGTAAGGTGAGGTGCAGTTCTACCAATTTCAAGAAAAATTTGTTGAAATCAACTGAAACAGTATCTAATTGTAAATCATGTTCTATAAAGTATTAAATCAAGTTGTTAACTGGACAGTCAGAAACACCAAAATTTAGTAAGGTGATACGAGAAAAGTTTCAGAAACTAAATACCGAGTGACTAATAATGTTTGTAATTTTTGTCAGATTAGCAACATATTTAAAATTTTATTATGGTGTACCTGATTTCAAATTCAAATTTTGGGCACCAATTCAGTAACTGCCATCTTTTCATTGGTTTTTAGACGCGCACATATTAAAATTGATAACTGTGAACTGACTTTCTAACATTGGCGTCAATAATTCAAAACTGCCAACCCAAAAATTTGTCATCAACTCGTCAATAGTCACCCGGTATTAATACTAAAAGTGAAGAGACGAATAATTAAATTGAAGAATTGATAAGAGTTTTTGTACTAATTTAAGCGTAAACGAACCTAAAACGTCTTAAATCCAAACAACCAAGTAAAATTAAATTCCACACAGTTTTACAGAGCTTATTTTAAGTCTACGCTAGACGTTTTCACCTTATCAATTACAAAATACCACTTTAACTGTCAACGACTGACCGAAAAAAGTTGATTGATGCGATAGACAGTGCAGAACTTTAATAAATAATTCCTTAAAACAAAATGTTATATCAAATTCATATTAAATCTGTCACTTCTGTCATTCTGTTTTGATGCTTAAATGTGTACAAAATTTTGGTCAAATCAAGTGTAGGCTATTGTTGCGAATTCAGTTTGTCGATGATTTTACAGTGTTTTCAAACTTTAGAACCAATTATTGGGACTTGTTGGACGGTACTTCAAAGGGGAAAGTTTCTGTATTTGCCATGATGCCAATGTTATGCTCTTTGACTAAAACATGTGATAGCAAAAGATATCTAATATTCAATGAACCAAAGCAAATGTCAGTGTAACCTGATGTATGTATATAATTTAAAGTAGTACAAGCTAAGTCATTGTTACTTCCTAAGCGTAAGCTAAGGAACCTAGTAACCGAGTCTATATTTTCTTGACGTTTCATGACCCCTAGTGTCCCTTTTCCATCTGTCTATCTGTCTACCTGTCTGTCTGTCTGTATCCATTTTTATTAGACAAGTAATCTCCGAACCTACTGGCGAAAGAAGAATTGTAATCGAGTCCATCGGACGAATGGCCACTTTTATGTTTTCTCGACGTTTGATGACCCCTACAGTACGAAAAAAGCAGTCTCCAGTTTTCGTCTGTCTGTCTGTCTGGCGTCTGTGTCGATTTTTATTAGATACATAATCTCAGAAACTACTGGACCACTTGTTGTCAAATTTTGTACGTACATTAGGAATATCATGTAGATAGTTAAACGCTAACAAAAATTAGGTGACGCCATTTTAAAGAACTCTATTTTAATATTAATAAATGTTATACATTAATAAAGTACCATACCTGTAGTGTGTGAATGCGTTTTGAATTTTTGCCCTCAACAATTCATAAAAAAATTAACACAATATAATAACATGTTACCATCAACTCAGGACATAAGCGACTATGGCCAAGTGGTTAAAGCGTAAGGATGCGAGTCGGAGATCCCCAGTTCGATGCCAAACTTCACCGTTTCTTTTTTCGATTTTTTTCTCACTATCTACTACTATCTATGTTTATGACGTCTTAACAAATTTTTTATTGACCAAATTACGAACGAGTCACCCCATTTTCTCGAAAAGATGGGAATACGCACGTCTTTATTTAATGAGAATTGTAATAATAATATTTAGAACATTCTGTTCCACTGTGGGTTAATTAATAATTTTAGTCGTCTGTTCTCACTCATTCAAATTAAACAAATTTCTACGTGACATCCTTCCGATGTATAAACAAACACTTGAAGCTAAAGCTTATTCTTGCTGAGAGGCCATTTTTTCTCGTTTGAAAGATTCACTCCTTCTGTAATTAGTTGTGCTTCGGGACATATGAATTCAAAGTAACTTAAAATTTTATCGTCGACTATACATAATTTGATATTTCATAGATAGAACCATGTTTTATTTGGTTTAGAGTGCAGTACCAACAATACTTTTCTTTTTTTACGACTGTTTTGAAGTTGTCTATATTTATTTTGTCCTTATTAGTCGTAAGTTAGTAAAGTTAAAATTTCAACCACAACAAACAAACAAAGGAAAAAAATTAATACTTAGTGCCCTATTTTGAATGCATACGTGGACACGTCTGAGTATCGATTCGATTAGGTGATCAACTTCCTCCTGAGGTAGTTCCTCCCAAGCAACTTAAATTGGTTACTGTAGCGGACCTAAGATCTGTGGAGCCTTTTGTAATCTCGTTAGTCTCCTACCCATCATATATAGGTATGGGTTCGATGGGACTTAAACCCCGAGATCTGGAAGACAAAGCCAAAACGTTTAAAAATGTTAGAGGTGGAACACGGAAATTATTATCAGAACATTCTTTATGAACATTAGACATACAACTAACAACTGTTAACCATAAATCATTTTTTTTCGGTGTTGCTTTTCTAATGTTATCTAGTATATTTTTAATATTCACCTTGTGGATTTGTACTGTTAGACACTGATAAGAACATAATATTAATTAAATCATTTAAATACAGTAACGAAATTCATACTTCCCATAGGCGTTGCATCATCTTGAGCGCGTGAAATATAACATTTTAACTATATCTAAGCTTATCGAAGTTACGTAACTAATAACTATGCTTTTACCGGGTTATTGATTTATCATTAACATATATTTTTTCACATTATAGTCATTACAGTGCGCAATAACATGCACCACGCATTAACGATAAAAAGTTGATGTAATTTTTTAATGACTTATCGCTTGTTTCACGAAGGTTTGAAAACACTTCATCCAATTGCAATTATTTTGTAGTTAAAACTTAAAAAAAAAACTTCAAAAAGTCATACTTCCAAATTTTTGCATCAGTGGCAAGAGAAGCTTTTTTTATTTTTTCCTCTCCACTTTTAATTTCTCGTCAGAAATGCGGTCTTCCTGTTCTGCATTTGCTTTAGTAACACTATGATTTTCTGTTGAAGAGAAATTTCTGCAACGACAAATAATTGTAGTTCTGTCAGGTATACATACGGAGTTTTAACTGGGACACCAATTAGTGACCATCTTAGCCAGTATTTTAATAATTTAATCACTAATGTTCACCAAGATCGGCATATTAAAAAAAATTACACGTTATCGTTAAGATGCCACCTTCTGTTATTAGTTTAACTAACAAGTAATGAATGAAGTGTATAAATATGGGTGCAATAATTTTTTTCTTGACCTCTGCATGGTTACCAGTAAGTGACCACCAGAATTACCAGTTTCCTCAATATCCTAAAGGAACCAATAATTGGCCAAATACGTGTACTTAAGATGCTTTTAAAAGAACTTTATTATAAAGAAAAACATATATTCAAAATATGTAATAGTAACAATTGTATTTGATTAATTCTGCCACACTAAATGTACCTTTTTTTGTTTACAGGTATTGGCTCAGATATTTCTTCCAAAGCGTCTTCCAAATCGTACCACAGTTCGTCTTTGTTTAATGGCCATTTCTAGTGGTGTATACCACTAGTCGTCATTACTGACATTTGTATTTCTTTGTCTTTCACATTTGTAACTATTCCGGGAGTAGTCTTGATACTGAACATACTTTCCGATGCTAAAAATGTTCATATTTTTTGTGTTTGGAACTAGAGTTTCTAATGGTTCATCATTCAAATTGTCTATCCAGTCGTCTTCCTCTCCTTCATTTTCTACTTGAATGTCCATAGAAGAATCAAATGAAGATTCGTTAGCTAATTTGGTAACAGAGCTATTAATATTATTTTGTTTTTTGAACAAAACTCGCTAACAGGGAATGTCAACTGGCTCGTGTGGTCATTTAGAAAGAATATAACTGGAAATATTATATTATTTTCTACAACCATGGATAAACAATATTGGTGACATATTCCTGAAATGTAGGTCCTGTCATCCAGATAAATTCACTTTGGGCAATACCGCAATTTGTTGGTATTAAATTAGAAAATATGATTGCATACAGCTGTTTCGCCTTTCGTCACCAGTACCTTTTGTTCTTATGAATATAAAGGAATTAGAATCCTACTAAAATAATTATACACGGATGTATAAAACATCTAGAGGGCCAAAATATCAACGATGTCTAAAAACCTAGCAATACTTTATGATGGTTAGTTTGACAAATTTGTGACGTACATGCAAAACACAGAATTAACACCTCAAATTCTTCATAACATAGAGTCGTAGACGAATTTATTTATTTATTTTTCTTACCAATTGCAAAGCTATGAAAAATTTGCATGCCAGAGTGTGTTTCTCTGCACATGGAAGGTATCATAACATACGTTATAATTCCTCAGGGTGAGTACATGAATAATTATAACAGATAGTACGCTAATTAAATTGTAGATGTTACGAATACGACGTAGTCGTAATAGGTGGAGGAATAATTGGTACTGCAATTGCAAAAACAATCAAAGAAAAAATACAACAAAAAAAAGTTGCTCTCCTTGAAAAAGAGTCTGATTTGGCTCTTTATCAAAGCAGTCACAACAGTCAAGTAATACACGCTGGTATTCACTATAGAGTAGATTCTTTAAAAGCAAAACTATGCGCCGAAGGTTCTAATCTTATTTACAGATATTGCGAATCTCGCAACATTCCTGTTAAAAAATGTGGAAAACTAATAATTGCAACAACTTGTTTGGATAAATTCCGATTGAATCAGTTGTACAAACTAGGTTTGCAGAATAAAGTTTATGGTTTAGAACTTCTGAACAACTGGAAAAAAGTTGAGAGTATTCAACCTAACTGTAAAGGTCTGCTTGCATTATGGTCTCCCAATAGTGGTAATGTCGACTGGAAAAATGTAACACAAAGCTTTGCAAATGATTTTAAAGCTAAGCACGGAGATATTTTCTTTAATTGCAGAGTTAATTCTATTAAAGAATCTACGAAACCTTCACACCCTTTGATGATAGCAGAATCAACAAACTGCAAAGTATTTTTTGCTAAGTACGCAGTTATTTGCCTTGGTGTGCATTCTGGAACATTAATACAATATAGCAAACAAAATGATTATAAAAACATTTCGTTACAAGTTAGTTATTATTACCTGAATCCAAAATTACACAGATTTATAAAAACAAATATTTATGCAATGCCACATATAGATATGCCATTTATTGGTGTTCATTTAAGTCCCACTGTAGATGATAAAATATTGTTAGGACCAAATGCTGTTCCAATACTACAATTAGACGGCTACAAGTAACTCGAGCAAATTAATAATGCATTTACCTATTTTTCAACTTTTAGGCAGTCTTCGTTTGATTTTGAGTATGTAAAAGACCATGTATTGTCTAAGGGATTTGGATTATTATTTCTAAAAAACTTCCAGTCTTGCCTTAATCAAGTTTTAGAAAAAATTCTCTCTGATGTGAGAACTTCTACGCTGAACAAATATTTTCCGATGCTTTCAAAGAATGATATTCTGCCAGGGCCAACAGCTGTACAAGGACAAATTGTTACAAACGACGGAGAATTTGTAGATGACTTTTTGATCGAAATATTTGGAGACGAAGGGATACAAAAACGTATAATTAACTGCAGATTTGTTCCAAGCCCTGGTGCCACATGTTCATTAGCGATAGCAGAGATGATATACGCCGAAATTGCGAAAAAACTAACTTAAACCAGTTATATTGTAATAACAAAACAAAAACAAAAACAATATCCCTACAGTTGAGGTAATAAAATGTTTTATAATAACAGTGTTTGTAGTAAGAGTGGATTGAACGCAGAGCAGGTGCAATATACGAAAAATAAACCGAACGCCAGTTTGGTCCGATCAATGTATTAAAACGGTATGTTAATTTTTATTTCCCGAGTGTACCTAAGCTAACGAAGTATTGTAATCGAATCAATCGGGCACCTCATTATTTTTATCTTTTCTCGACGTTTCATGACTCGTAGAATACAAAGAATGGTTTCCGTCTTTACTTGATCCTTTAATTTTTTTCCAAACGTGCAACAAGGCTTTAGATTCGGCATGTCCTTTCCCTAAATTTCTTGAACTTTTGAATTCGTTTCTAAAAGACTTCGTGCCTCTGCCTTTCGTCCTCATTTCGATAGCGCAGTACCACAGTTTTCTTCGTTTGAAATGCGACATTATTTAAAAAGAAAATGCCTAAAATAGTTTTACTGCAACAAAAAATTGCAATAAAAAGCTGTTTTTTGCAGTTTCAAAAAGACAGGCCCGATCTTTCTTTTGAATAAGTAACTATGAGGGTTTTGAACATATTTTCTGTAATGTAAAAATACGCTGCAAAACATTTTTTTTTCTCACAGGTATGAACATCAACTGTAGTGAAAATTTTATCAACATGGAATCAAAATTTAAAAACATCACTATCTGGCAAGCGAAAACCAACTGATTTATTTACAAATTATATGTTTCGGAAAGACCTGCAATGACAAATTTGACAACTTAATGAAAAAAACGAATATTTCACTGTATATACTCTTTTAGCATATTTTAGGGAACAGGTGGAATTTAATGGGGGGCGAACCACATACAAAATTCTTAAGTCAATGGGTTAGAAACACAGGGAAGTAAATGGTCGCAAAATTCTATGTAACAAAAACATGGCGTTGCAGCCAAAATTACTTTATTGAGAACATATTTACAGTTTCTAAATTCTTGTGAAAATTTGACTTTCGTGTATTTGGATGAAACATGGATCCATCAAAATGGTTCGTCTATTCGTCGCTGGCTGCACGATACTGATCTAAAAAGCAATCCCACCAAAACTAAAAGTGAAGGATCAAGGTTTACTATTCTCCACACGGGTTGTTCAACGGGGTTCTTGGATGGTTGTAACAACTTTTTAAATTAAAAAAATAACGATAGAGACTATCATAAAACGAGGGACGGGATAATTTTTCAAAATTGGGTGGTTAATCAGCTCATTCCTACTTTGCCAAAGTTGAACCAAAAATGTGTGGTGGTTTTAGACAATGCATCGGATCATTCGGTTCAGTTGGATAAACCACCCACTTTTTCTAGTAAAAAATGTGAAATGCAGGAATGGCTCTTTAAACATAGTGTTGAATTTGACAAACAATTTTCGAAGAAACAGTTGTGGGATTTAATTAAACCCTTCAGAAACAATAGAAAAAAAAAGATATTTGGTAGACGAGACATTAAGAGAAAGTGGCCATGAATTCTTAGTTTACTTCCGTACCATTGTCAATATAATCCAATTGAAATGGCGTGGGGATTTTGTAAGAACTATTACAACAAGCATATAAATTTTCAACCTTCATTAAAAAATAGGGTGGAGAATTTATGGCTTTAGGCGCCTTCTAAATGTACTCCAAGCATGTGGCAAAATTTTTGGAAACATTGTGAAAAACTTATTTTGGCAGATTGGGAAAAAAATATGGGAAATCTTTCGTACGAATCTATAAGCCCTTTCATTCGCTAGGTGAATCTGATTCAGAATCTGAATTTGAAAATGACGGTGATGATACAAATTTTCATAGCGTAATAATGGAAATGGTGTGAATTGTAGCTTGTCGGGGGGTGGTATTTTTACGCATCTTTCGTTCTAAATTTACCAAGGTAGTATGTGAAAAACTACCTGACGTACAACAAAATAAGGATAATTTTAGTTAGATCATCCACGTTGTTACTTTGCACCAAATTTTAAGCATTTTCATTTTTTTTTGTAACTCTTCATGGACCTGGAGAAGGCGTATAGTAACGTTCTTATTAATCAGCGTTTGGAAGTACTTAGTAAAAGCAAATAAAGAGCACTTACGTAAGCATTAGTAATAGCTATACAGATAAATCATTCAATGTAAGGCCGGAAAAATGTATCAAAAGAGCTAAACCCATCAAAGCACTAGAGCAAGGTTGTTGTCTTTTATCAACCTTTTTAATAATCTTAGAAAAGTGAAAAAAGAAGTCGGAAGATATGGAAATAGGCTGTGCACAAAGGTCATTTCTAAGAAGAATGGGCGAGAAGAACGAACTGATGATTGACAATTAAAGATGAGATGTTAAATGTGGCATGCCACAATACTCGTATATAGAACCCCCATTCATATAAAAACAATGTTTAAGTGAAATTTTGGTGTTTGTTCCTTACATATGAAATAAACACTTACAAAAAGCCGAATAACTGTTTTAAATAGAGTAAAGTTTTATGCTTCCTAAGAAATGGATACCGTTAACTTGGTCATTGGTACTGAAAACTGAAAGTATCGGCAACAATGTTTCTCTTTCTGGCATATTTTTTAACATTCAATTTAATAAAACAACCTAACGAAAAAAGTTCAGGGAATTGTTATTCTTCTGCATCGAATACCAACAAACTCACTAGATTTTCATGACCAACCCTACTATATAAAGATCGTGAACGGATAATAGCTTCTGTAGTGGAGCTCTGCTTGCGAGAATAAATTTTGAGCCACTCTCTGGGCAACAATAGGATGTCTTTTTAAGAATGAAGAATGCCATTTTTCCCTGGCCTTCTATTAGTGAAGTTGTTTGCCCCGGGTAGAGCTTTGATAAATATTTGTACTGACTCTAGGAGCTGAACTTTACTCGATCCCCAGTATATAATAACAATCCCTGAACTAAATGCTCTTCTAATGTTTGGATTAAAACAGTTGGCGGTCCCTTTCTACATTCCACTGGAAGCTTGTCTTTAAACTAATATAACAATGTAGTTTTGGGTTTACTATCTTTTTTCTTTCTTGACTTCTAACGCGCATTTTAAATCGTTAATCGTTTATGTTCTCTAATATTAATCTCGTCAAACTTTTCACAACATCCTTACCCCTACGCACAAGTTCTAAGTAAAAAGGGTTGCCAATAGAAACACGTCTCGATATATTACGCACTAAAAATTCACTGGAATGGGTAATTATTTTTCCACTTCTTTACAAAATCATACGGAAGAGTTTTTCAACGTAAGACCATATTTTTAGTAGCAAAATAATGTAAAAACCCTTATTTTTATTGAAAATGTATCCAGTGGTCACTTTTTGAGTAATGGTCAAATAATGATCCTTACATTTATGAAAAAGTTGGTCGAACGTTATTTCGACAGGACTTCCCTCGTCCCTCGTTACTCGTTTCTTTGAGAAATAAAAAACTGATTTTCCGAACATTTATTTATGAAAGCTCTATACCTACATTAAAACAAACATAATAAATACTCCCTCCTTCCTTCCGAAAATATGGTTTACATTTCAAATTTATTTTTGTCCGAAATTATGATATACATTTTTTGTAACTTTATTTATTATCAGTATTATAACGAAAATACATTTCAATTTAAATGCAATCAGGCTTCATCTAGAGCTTCTGGAGAACAAACCAGTGTCGTTGGTAACCTTCCCTCATGACGAAGTTTGGATTTATTAAGATGAGGAATTTTATAGTTTCTTCATCCTTCAAACAACATAGTTGATTCCACATTATCGAGTGTCTCTCTGTCACATTCAATTAGTTCATCAACCGTTTTTGGTGAAGTTCCATGTTGTGAAGACTCGATAGGATTAAAGCAACCAAGATCCACAACGTTTAAATGCGATTTAAACTGTCAGAACAATGGGGTTTTGCATTATCCTATTGCACATGTACAGGTTTTTGCTTATAAACCGTGGGAAATTAGGATTTAGTGGCGGGAATTCGTTTTCTACAATAATTTTTTTACATTCCCTTGCATTAATGCACTCTAGATTTTTTGTAATCACCGTACCTTTAGCTCTATTTTTGGAGTTTCATTTAGCTGGTTCGTCGTAAACAAAAGGCCACAGCAATTTTTCGTGGTATCGTGGAGGAGTAACAGCAGCCATAAATATAACTTTTGTTATAAAGCGCTTGCTTTCGCATGTTCTATGGGGTAGTTCTTTATCCAGCATAATGTAGTAGGAACGTTTGTTTCGAGTCAAATAAGACCATTTTTCATCGATTTGAACGTAATCATACAAATCTTCAAAACGTCCATCTAACCTGACTTTCGATATGCAAAATTGTAGCCTAGCTAACTTATTTTGATCTGTTAGAGCGGGTCTAATAAGTGTAGAAAATATATAACGGTTCCTCTCTTGATGATATCGAATAGTGTACATTTTGGAATTCCAGCAGGAAAAGATAAATTACGAGTTGATCCACCTCGATTGAGGGCAACTTCTCTAACTTCAGCTAAATTTCTCGAATAATCTTTACATTTACGACGGAATTTCTCTTTACTTCATTATAATTTTCTACGTATCATTCGTTAATAATTTTGTAAAATGTATACCATATTTTCGAACACAGGGTGTCAGTAATACCAGTAACAGTGTAAAAAGCTAAAATGACACCCTATAAATGTGATGTGACATTCTATACCAATTCCTACAATACAATTAAATATTATTATATACTTCATATGCATCATTCTTTTCAATCTGAAGAACTATATGCAATCTTTCTAGAATTTTTTTAAGACTGATTTGCACTAGTACTTGCTGAGTATTGTAATCGAGTCCGTCGACCGACTCTCTACTTTTATGTTTTCTCGACCTTCCATGACCCCTAGAGTACGAAGAAATAGGTCTCTCGTTTCCGTGTGTCTGTCTGTCTACCGTCTGTCCGGATTTTTATTAGACAGATAATCCCCGAAACCTACTGGACCGAAGTAAATATGACCAAATATACAGAGAGATAATACATAACGTATAAATTTAATGAACAATACAGATCAAGACCTTGAGACGACATGTGTCGGCGTCAGTGGTTGGAAGTAATTCAATTACAAGTTAGCCATTTTTCTAGTCCACTCAAATCTATAACAGGTAATCGATAGAACCCGTACTTTTAAACCCCTCCTAATCCGATAATAAAATTTTATGAGAGTGTCCACGCTCTAAGGCCAACGCCAAGTAAGAAGCAGTTATAAACACACTTTTAAGTTTACATTATCTTGTAGCCCCCTTCTAAGCATTTAGGAACAACCTTTTTATTAAAGATTAAAAAATTTGCGTCCGGAGGTAATTATCGGTGGACTAATATTTACGATACATTTACACGTAGCCAATAAAATATTTTGAAATCTCCCACCAATGCAAATTTTTGTTTAAAGTTGTTGCAGTTGGCATCAAACTTTTATTTGTAGCTGGAGGGGAATGAAATTAGGCGCAAAATCGGATATTCAGTTTTTGGTAAAATATGTAAAATGTTGCCCCACAACAATTCCATCTAGCGCCGCAGTGGAAAGGATGTTTTTAAGACAAAACGTCATGCCTCAGCTGACGAAAATTTTGAATGTCAGTTATTATTGAATTTAAATTATAAATATAGGCCTTTTGGGTGAAGTATTTATTTGTTTTATTTTATTTACTGATGTGAATATGTAACAAATGCGTTAGTAAAATAAATCACTCACTGTCTTTTTCATTCTAACCCGTTTTTTCTTGACCCTTTGGACCCATACAACGAATATTTTTTCAAAGTGCAACAAGTAATTGTTAAAGTAATGCATTACTTTTTAAAAGTAATTTGTAATTGTAATGAATTACTATTATTACTGAATAATGAGTAATTGGAATGCATTACTTTTTAAAAGGATTTGTTCCAATCACTGGGCGGCGTATATGCTTCGCGCCAGCCGTCAGGCGTTAAAGTCAAGGTCGCTATTTCAGGGAAATAAAACGAAAAATAAGAGCTGCCCTTGTATATTTCACATAAAAAAACATAATCTTACGGTTAATAAAATAAAAAAAAAATTAAATTTAGTGTACCTTTAATGTTACGGTTTTAGAGACTCCATTACGTGAATTTCCATTAAATGATATGACTAATCAATTCAACTTCAAAAAAGCTGACTTTCGATTGCTATATGATTTGCTTGGGTTAACCAATTGGGACTTTTTAGAGGCTAACATTGATGTTGATAAAGCATGCTCACTTTTCTATGATAAGCTTCATGAAATTTTTCTTCTTACTGTTCCAAAATCGGTGCCCAAACGTAATAGTCACTCCTGGCCTCCCTGGTTCAATCAGGAAATAATTGCAACTATTAAGGCAAAGGATGATTGTCACAGGCTGCATAGAAAACGCAACACTGATTATTACAGGAATTTATTTAAATTGTATCGTTCTCGGTGTAAGCATCTTATTAAGGCGTCGTACAAAGAATATATTCACAGAATTGAGAACAATATCTCAACGGACCCTAAATCGTTTTGGGCATTTGTTCAATCTAAAAAAGGGGGTACTAGGATTCCTGGGGTGATGCATTTTAATGACTCACAAACTACTTCACCAGAGGAAATTGTAAACGCATTTGGTGAGTACTTTAATAGTGTATACATTGCCTCCAATGATGATCTATGTCCCTCTTTTGCCTCTCACAAGTCGAGTCAACTATTTGTCTCTATTGATTCTCTAACTGAAAATGATGTTTTTCTAGCCTTGAAAAAGTCAAAGAATTCTTGTACTGCTGGGTTGGATGGCATTCCTAGTTTCCTCCTGAGTGACTGTGCATGTAGCTTTGCCCATCCCTTGCTAAAGATCTTTAATCTCATATTAGAGCAATGTAAAATGCCTGATTGTTGGAAAAAGACTTGTGTCTGCCCGGTATTCAAAGCAGGTGATGTCTCTGATATTGATAAGTATAGACCCATTAGTTTATTATGTAATTTTGCAAAAACATTTGAGACTGTTCTGTATAAATACATTTATTCTGCTGTCAAATCTCATTTAACTGAATATCAACACGTTTTTTTTTCAGGGTAGATCTACGATTACAAACCTGGCATGTTTCTCTCAATATGTTTCTGTTTGTCTTGATAATAGGGGTCAAGTTGACACTTTTTACACGGATTTTTGTAAAGCATTTGACCAAATTGATCATTATATCTTGATTGCTAAATTACAACAGTTTGGATTTTCCACTCCTCTGATCAACTTTTTCCGTTCATATCTAACGAACAGAGTCCAAGTCGTTAAATATCGTAACTTTTATTCACAACCATTTTCTCCCACCTCTGGTGTGCCGCAAGGGTCGAACTTAGGTCCATTATTGTTTCTTCTGTTTGTTAATGATATTGTTGATGGTCTATCATGCGAGAAACTTTTATATGCGGATGACCTGAAGTTGTTTATGGAGATTAAAAATATTAACGATAGCGTGACTCTTCAAGCTAATATTCAGATTATTTTGCAATAGTGTATTCGTAATCGTTTATCTCTTAACCAAGACAAAAATGTTTCGTTGTGTCCTATACAAGAAAACTTAATCCTAGTATATTTCCTTACACCATAGCCAATACTGAGTTACATCGTTGTGACAATTTTAAAGATTTAGCCATTACGTTTGATTCTAAATTTAATTTTGTGAAACATATAGATGATGTAATAGCAAAATCTTTTAGGATGTATGGTTTTGTTTACAGGAATTGTAGCGAGTTCTCAAATATAAGAACTTTATGTAATTTATATTTTGCGCTTATTAGATCTAGATTGGAATATGGTGCTATAATTTGGTATCCCTTATATGATGTGCATGTTAAGAATAATCGAAGCTGTTCAGCGTAAATTTCTCAAATTTTTATGTTATTGTGTAGATAAAGTTTATCCTGAAAAGGGGTGTGATCATGCTGCACTTCTGAGTAAGTTTGAATTTCTAGGTCTCCAGGATCGGCCCAATATTATTGTCACTAGATTTGTTTTTAATTTATTTAACAACAAAATAGATTGTCCGAGCCTTCTGGATAAATTTAACTTGGTCGTACCTCGTATTAATTCACGCCAATCTCAAACTTTTTATAGTTCTTCATATACGACAAACGTATTACGTAAATCTCCAGTAATTGTTATGTGCAATAAGTTTAATGAAATATGTACTCATTGCGATATACATTACGATTCGCTATCGGTTATAATCAAATCCTTTTTTTGTATTAGTAAGTAGTAAGATTTATAGTTTGTAGTTTTGTGGGAGCTTTTATTATTAATAATGCCTTATGTTATACTTAAGTTCACTGACTTTGGAATTGTATGTTATTTATTTACTGTTTGCGGTTGATTTGAGCCTAAGTTTTACTTTTCCTTATTATTGGGTGTAAACCTGTTAGGAATAAAGCCTTATTATTATTATTATATGTATAAATTAATAAATACCCAGACTGCGCCACTTGCATTTGAGCGCATTATGTTACGAAAACATACATGCTTATACACATTTTGTCTAAAAATTGCTCTATTGCTCTAAAAACATGAATACGTTGATAAAGGTAGAGGTTGTGCGTGTTGAGTCAGTTTTCCCATTTGAGAATGTTTCGATCAACATTATTTCAGTAAAGACACGTCTGTCAATACCGACATACAATGGAATACTAATAATAAAACACCAGGGTGTACCGTTTTTGAGATTTGATCAGTAAAAACAGTATAATATCGATAATAGCAACAAAAAAAAAAAACGAATTCATAAAGAATAATTACAGCAGTGTGTCATTTTACAAAATTTAAACCCTACCTACTGTGAAAAATTTTGAGAGGGTGTCATCCCGTTGTTGGTGAAGGTGATTGGAAAAATTTTGATTAGGTTTTACCATCACATAATATTCTGAATATATGTACGTACAAAATTGGCAATAATCGGTCCAGTAGTTTCGGAGATTATCTGTTTAAAAAAAATCCGGACCGACGGAAACGGGAGACCTATTCCTCGAGAAAACGTAAAAGTAGAGTCGGTCGACGGACTCGATTACAATACTTCCTTCGTTTACGCTCGGGGTTTTTTTTACCACTTTTTACTAAAAGATTTATTAAAACTCCACTCATTTCATGCTTTATGCAACTAAAACGAGTTGTTTCAAAGATGTTTCACATGGGATTTTTCGAATGAAACCAAATTTAGGTATAATGCATATGGCAACTATGTGAGAAATGTTCATGTTTCTAAATGGTGGTTTAGGACACAATGTTTACAGAGTGTAGCGCATTTCACGGAAACAAAAATTGCTCTACTGTCTACGACACCGCACACTTTGTTGAAATTAAAGTTAAATTCAAAACCTGACAAGAATGACAATGAGCGATTGTGCGTCATTGTGCAATAAATAAAAATAAAAACGAAGGAAACAAGTTTCCAAAGCCTTATTTACACGCCACCTACATACAGTAATCTGTTGACATAATGCATTTACACCCACGCCCACGCTCGAGCAACAACATTGAAACGTCTATTTTTAACAGAAACCGTAGTTAACGCACACACACACAGTTCCGCTTTCCGCGTCCAGCAATCAATTTTCGTCGATTCAATTAATCAATTAACAAGAAAGTCGTCACTTTCAACGAGCGGCGATCGTGTGTTCCAGTCCAAATCCCTCCTTATCTAACACCAACAATACTTGCGACCGACCTTGCATCCGAGCAAATGCAATGCCGTGAATCCGTGATGCCAAAGCCAGGCGCTGCAGCCCCCAGTGCCCAGACTGGCTGACGACACAAACAAAACTGCGTGGCGTCGCTCGGCTCGGTCGGAATTTTTTGCACACACCCAGCGAACGTCGGCGAGATCGGTCACGTGCAGCGCTAAATAAATAATGCAAGAAAAAGCACACTTCCGTCGTTATATATAGAGTAATATAGAACGTTCCGCACGCAGATCATGCGAATTATTTCGATCGGAAGGGGCCTTAACGAATATGTGGTACGCGCACCTTGTTGACACGCAATGCCACCTTAACAAAGCAACAGGAGATAAGTGACGAACATTCGGAAAGTTTGCTTGATGATAGGAGGCGGCAATCGATAGCTACACTTGAATTTGTTTGACAACTTGTGACAGATGCGGCTTTTTGGAAAATGTGGCAGAAGCTGGACTGCAGTCTCAAGGACAGGGTGATAGCGATTGGGGCCCTGCATGGGGTAAGTTTTTTTTGTTTGTTGTTGTTGATTTTTTTTGATGGGCGCGATTGTTTGCTGATTAATCTCGTGCTTACTAAAACAAATACCGTGGTATTCTATCGGATAGGCAACCAAACTTACAACTTCGCTTGCAGGTGGGTTTGGTGTGTGGAATTCTTAATGAAATTTGGAACATCACTGCAGAAGCGAGGCCGGTCACTGATGGCGATATTTTTTATATGAGTCTTCATTTTGTAGTCCACACGTTTTTGATATCCTCGTTAATCATGGGGGCCAAGATGGTAAGATCGTTGTTTCACTAGTTAATATACACTTAATACATGTCTTTTTTTTTGTATTTCATATATAAAAGAAACCGCTAACTATAAATATAAAAGTAAAAGCTCTCTAATTAAGTTCGCCATAAACATAATTGTAGCATTCTCGGTTTCGTCGAAAAAGAAAACATTTTTTGAAAACTTCAGTAACACTAAGTTTAGAACCCCTCAGGTTGGTGCAGGACAACTTTCATTCTTATCGTCTACTAATCACAGTAGGAACTAGGGAATAACACAGAAATCCTTTCCGATAAAAGTGCGCATCTTCACACTCGTGTGAGACACAAAAATACATTTATAGTAGCCTGCATAGATATTGTAGCCGTCCATAGAGTCGAAATTTGCCAATAAAAATAAAATAAAACCGGTTCAAACGGAGCCGACGATGGCTTGCAAAGTCTGACATCACTCTGGCACACGTTGCACAGAGACGTATTTAATATTAAATGTCATTTTTTCCGTTATGATATAATCTGTTTAATTTCTGAGCTGAATCTCGTCAATAAAATCGAAGCTCTGTTCACTGTACACAAGTTGTGGTATGGTATATTCATCGTTGCGGAGGCAGGTGGAGCGAAAAACCTAGTCATCTTAGCAGCAAACACGCCTATAAACTAGTCCACGTGGACTGTTTGTTTCCTGTCATATTTTAGTTTGCTTGAACCAATTGTGTTGCACCAAACGGTTATTACACTTGTTGAAATAAATTTTCAAACTTCCATCTTTCTCTAGATCATCGGTTTCGTAGCTGTGTGACAAATCGTTTGTCGTAGATAGAAAATAGTAAAATTACAGTGACCCTAAGATTTTCTGCAAAGAGCCTTAAGTACACCCCTGTGTGATATGACGCGTGCCGTAGTGACAGAACTTGCAAGCCGTCGTCGGCTTCGTTTGAGCCGGTTTTATTTTATTTTTATTCGCAAATTTCGACTCTATGGACGGCTACAGTATCTATGCAGGCTACTATACATTATCTGTTTTGGCCCGTTGAAAATTTTCAGTTGGCCAATAAACCAGTGGCAGCACGTGACTTTTTGAAATGGGGGGGGGGACACAATTTAATTAAAGAGTTAAATATGAAGATATAAAACAGACTGTTAATAGACGAAATTGTGTGACGGAAATAAATACAAAAACGTGACCCGACAAAACAGCCCCGTCAAATTAGCCCGGTATGAAATTTTTGTATAGACAAAAAGAAATTAATTTTTATTTCACTGCCCACTATTCACAGATTTTAGAAAAACAGAACATTATTTAGTAAATAACTAATTCCTACAAAATATTAATTTATAATTCAAATCGTATACCTAATATTATAAAACATAAGCAACGAATGCTACTCAGAGCTGTAAAATCAAGGTTTTATTGAATATATTATCACTGGGAAAACTAGCAGACTAAAAAAAATATATGCGTAAAATAATAATTTTTTGGCAAATGATAGTTCTTGCCAAGATAAGACTGATTTTGGAAAATGACTATGTTAGGAACTTTGATAATATAGATATAAACAGACTACACCAAACTTCAAAGAACCACAAATGCGGTTTTTGGTTTTTGGTAAACTATGATGTTTAATAAGGAATAGTGCATGTAAATATTTATTGTGATATTTTTGCTCCCTTGTGGAGGTTTTTAGATATTGGGCTATTTTGACGGAGGTCTTTTGTCATGAAGCTATTTTGTCGAAGCTATACTGGAGTGACGCTATGTTAGGGTTACCATACGTCCGGATTTTCCCAGACATGTTCTGGTTTTTCGACTGTCCGGGGATGTTCGGCCGGATTTTTATATTTCTGTTCGGGTTACTTCGACAACTAGATTTAAGTGGTGACACTTTTAACTAAAGCATTTTATGTTGTTTTTTCTGCAATAAATTTTTTTATAAGTACTCGTAATGTAACGAAGCGAATTTTCGCGGGCCGGAAACCGTGCCGCGTACCGCGAGAGCCGGGGGTAAATTGGCGATCGCCGCGCCGCCGCGGCGGAAGAAGAGGATTCTTGCCTGAAACTCCAAGGAGTGCGAAAGTGCTGTGGCTGCTGTCCTGGTGAAGAGTGTTTTTGAGAAGTGTGACCAAGTGAGCAGTTCGACCCTCCGACCCACCGTAAGTACCTTTTTGGGTCGTCTGCCTGTTTTGTACCGGTTTTGGAATCGCCGCCCCCGAGCGAAAAACCGTGTCACCGTCACCGCGTTCTTTTTGTCACCGTCGAAAGTCGACACCGTCGTGCACGCGTCGTTACCGTCACCGTGCTCCCCTCCCGGGTTGCCGTACCGTCTTCGCGCGATTTCCAGGTTCAAGGTCGCCGCCCCCAGAGCCAAAAATTTATATGGATTAAACACCCGATTTTTTCGAAAAAGTAAAACCGATACCCGGAACAAAAGGTTTTTCAGTCTTTTTTACTTCTCGAGAGTAAGCTATGGAAGTATTGTAATAGAATCCATCCGGGGAATCGCTAATTCCATGTTTTATGGATTCCTGGAATGAAAAATTGGTCTCCCGTTTCCGTCTGTCTGTCGTCTCTTGGTGATAAACTCTGAAACTATTAGTGTGATTGTTGTGAAATTTTGAATATACCTACTTTAGGAATATTGTATATATAATAAAATGATACCTAAGCAAAATTTATCCGATCATCCCCACCAACAATTTCATGACACCATCTCAAAATTCTGCATAGTACATGTTATTTAAATTTATAAAATGACATACTTGTATACTTACATTTTTTACCTTCGACATCTAGCTTTTTGGAAAAAAAGACAAAATTTACAACATTTTATAATTTAACTTTAAAACTGCAAAACCGAATACTATATTCTCTATGGTAAATCATTAATAAAAATTCATTGGTTTGTCCCCCCCTCTCCCAAAAAAAAAAAAAAATTTGATGGCGCGGCCTCAAAATTTTCCTGAATAAGTCCCATCTAAAAACGTGCAAAATGGTATCAATCTACACTTATGGTTTTAGAATACTTTACACAGGACGACTCAAAAGAAAAAATGATCGAAGCAAATTATTTTTTCCAATACCGACATGGTTCCACTGTATGTAATCTCTTTTATGCAACTGATTGAAAGTTTCAAACATTTTTATTTTAATCGCAGTAGGTACAGCACGCTGCTAATAATAATAATAACAGCTTGGAAATGGGGTGATATTTAGTTACTTTCTTCATTTAGGATAAGTTGCAATGTTGTATACTGAACGTTTCGGTGAAATCGGTCGAACGGTCAAACAATTGCTGCAAAAATGTATACGCATTGATAAAGCGCAAGGCTTTAACACACGCAATGTAATACCAATAGAGATTTCCTATCTAATAAAAATTGACACAGAGCATTAACAGACGGCAGACAGACAGACAGACATACAAAAAGCCGGAAACGGAACACCTATTGTTTTGTCTTTGCTTGTTCATATTTTAAAACATTTTAAGAAAATGGTCGTTTCTGAGCTGTTGTTACAAACTTGTATTTTTTTAAACACGGGTCACCATAACACCGTGGATAGCCTACTTTAGCTTTTCATACATGAAATCATAACAAGTAATTCTAATTTGGATTTAGAATAAATGGGACCCATCGTCAAGCCCTAGGGTTTAAGCCATTCTCTCGGAACATAAAATATTTGTTAGATTTTATTTATTGTCGCTAAATGGACAAACTCATTTGAAACACACGCATCACAATCCACACATATTTTAATTTTAACTTATAGAGTTATTATAAAAAAGATAATTCACAAAATCAAATTTTATAATTTATCCAATAAATTGAACTTGTTTGATTGTACTTCAGGGGCGAGGGAAGTTATGTACCCTTAAACGAGAGTTACTAGTCGCGACGTTCTCTTGTCAGAATCCAGTTGTCGTGTTCACTCACATTTTTTAATTAATCATACGATACTAATTTTATAATTTTAATAAACCTTGAAAATGCATAATTATGTTTTGGGGCGTGATGTCAAAAGCAATAATTAATATGTGAAATTTTTGAATCCAATGTAACAGAAATCATTATTCAGGACATCAGTGGTATTTTTAGTGTGGGATAGTTTAAATAATTAATAAGATGTCGAGGAGCGCGCTTAGTGATTCATCCTGTATATAGAATCGATACAAAATAAATATATTTAGGTTACTTTACAAAATAAGTCTGAATCTGTCCCACTTTTGTCTACTGAAAAGATGGTCATCGTTGTTTATAAAAATTGCTGATTTAGAAATTAATATTACGGTTATTACAGTTGATATTATTGATTTCACAGAAACACATCCTTTTTGTTTTCGCCATAAAGCTCGCGCCTGTTCTGAAAAGGGTGCTCAGACTCCGTTGTTTTATTTTATGATAAAAGAGTATCTCCCTATCTTTTATTTGCTATAATTTATAATATCGCTTCCAGAATGAACAAGTAATGTTGAGGAGTGTCCGGTACAATTTTTAAGATTTATTAAGTGTTTTAAAAATACAGCTACTTGTAGGTTTTGTACATTTTTCATGAAGATAGTTTGCAAAAATCGTCCATGATCGCAAGAGCAGCATAGTTTCTATTTTTATCAGTTGTATTAACAGCAGAACTCTTGTATCATAAAAATCAGGACACACATCTTCACTAATTCGTTCTAGCGATAGGGGCCACAACCTCCAGTGACAAAAATAACCTACAAATTACATTTAATCGGACGTTACGTCCATTAATGAAGTCACTAAAAGAAACCTGAACACGCTTTGTACCGGTCACAATGTAGAACCCTTAAATGCCGCTGATTCCGATGGACGTTATTAATTCCTTATATTATACGTTACTTATGAAATTTTTCGTATTGAAAACCTAATTTTTTTTATTTTTCCTGAAAATACATTGATTACTGCTAATTGGCAACCTTGGAAATATTCGGTAGAGTGAAAGACATTATTTTCTTCACAGTCTTCCATTAGAACAAACCTTGGAAGAAAGCATTCGATTTTTCATTAGGTAAAAACTTTATTTATTAATGTTGCTACAACCACTACTTCTGCTATTAAATCAATGTGTTGCGATGGCGAGTACTCACTTACTGTAGGAAAATACATATTGTTTACTAATGTCAATATGATGAGTTCTACTCAGAAAATACGCCATTTGCATATTTTAGATAGGGTTTGCCCGTTTTTTTTTTCACTTTTTCTCTCATGCTGTGTATTATCTATGTGTATGACGTCAACAAATTTTTTATTGATCAAATTAAGAACGAGTCACCCCACTTTCTCGAAAAAGTGACAATACGCCCGTCTTTATTTAATAATATTAATAATAATAGTAATAATAATAATATTCAGAACATTCTGTTCGACGACGGCGTAATTAATAATTTTAGTCCCCTGTTTTGAGGCGACAAACTCATTCAGATCAAACAAATTTCTACGTAACATTCTTCCGGTGTACAAAGAAACACTTGAAATTAAAGCTTGTTATTAGTGCTGAGAGGTAATTTTTTCTCCTTGCTTATCTGCTTAAAATATGGGGAGTATTTTCTATTCTCCATACTGGTGCAACTGGCACAATCCCTTGCCATTTACGCCCCCACGGCGTTACTTTAATTTTTCAAAGAGTTAGAAACTGTAGATACTGAATTGAAAAAGATACCTGGATATATTTCTTTAAGAAGTAAATAGAGTGTTTATTGTAGGCATTGATTAAATACATATATATGTATTTAATCAATGTTGTAGGTAAAGGATACGTTTTATAACTGTGAAAAATATGCAACCATCCTCACAATAGTTTTGACTATTTTGGCTACGTACAGTAATATAATGTATTAGTTAATATGACATGAATGAAACCATTGATTAATTGGTAGCTACCGCATTGAAAAATATCCACAGGAGAATAAAATATAATTTAAATTTTATCTTAATATAATTCCATTCTTGCTTCACGTTATGGATTTCTTTGCGTGTTATACCTGTGTTGTATACTAAATTTGATACAGTATTAAGTATAAAACGTAGAAAGATCAATGGCAACGGCTATATGATAAGGTTAATTGCTACAGATTCTTGCACACATTTTATCGGCGAGTGTTATGCAGTGATAAATTCCTTATATTTCTAAAATGTTATCGCATCTGTAAAATTTTGCCAGAATTTTTTGATAATTCTGTCTAAATTTTGTTGTAGACTATCGACATTAATCGTTATCGATTTCCCTATTTCTTCAATTCTTTTTAATTATAGACCAGCGGACTAACCCATCACATTAAAGGAGTAAATTGATGTCTGTTTGTTCTTGATTGATTATTATATTTACACAACTGTTTAACTATTATAACGCTCATTTAGAAATATTTAATTGAATTAATCGAAAAGTTTTTTCGTTCCCTTTTCTATATCATCGACTCTAAACCAGAAGTGTACTAATTTTCTTATTTATTTTTCAGGGGAATCCTATATTAGTTCTTCCCTGGTTAATAGTAACTTTTCCAGTATTTGTATTCGTCTCCTACTGCACTTTGAAGTATTCTCGATTTACTTACCTGGCACAACTGATCTTTAACATTTTTTTTATTTGTAAGTATATACGTTAAATTTAGCTTGTGGACACCTTTTTGTAATTGTTATTTTTCTAATGTTTTAGGTTTAGGCTGGTGTTTATGGTTAACAGTATTTCAGTTCTTACGACACTCAAGGGACGTAAATCGAAAGCCACAAAAAACGTAGACAGATTATACTTGTAGATTATAATGCAATAGAGGTGCCTCATCAGGCTGTGAATTTACGACAATACCTCTGTTTTAGAAGAAAGTTACATTATTTATTACTTTAAGTATAAAAATTGTACTGTTATTTAATACAAAGTTTTTTATGAAGCGTTTTAACCTTTTTAATTTTTTGTTTTGTTTTGATGATGTGGTGCTGGATGACGGGTTAACCATCTTCACAATCGAAAAGGAATAAGGACAGCAATATTTATTTATGTACTAAGAGCGAAGAAGACAATACCATCTTACGCAATTAAAAACAATAATCTAAATTTTAAAATATGTAATTATTTTCGGTTTACCAAATTCAATTAAAATTGCAGTGACAATTGTGTTGAAAACAAATTGCTACCAACACAAACAATCAATTAATAGGTATAGTGTGCTAGCTGTCATAGGAATAGATTTGATGCCACACAGAGATGTAGTGTGGGTGGCGTACGTGTCACGAGATGGTGGGGAGAAGAAGTTTTAAGTTAGAGATAGAGAGCATTGTACAGAACGGTAATCAAGAATATTAAGATTTGTTAGTTAAATAAATGAGTTATATAGTTTATGGAGTATTTAATACCATAACATGGCGCAGTCGGAAATCAAAATAGTGTGGGTGAATAAAGGGAACAAGTAAGCCCGCCCAAGCAAGTAATCCAGGGAAGAAAGGAAAGCGCGTGGAAAGATTGAGGTTAAGCAGCACAGAACACGTGAAAAAAAGGCATTGACAAAATGGAGTTTTTGAAGCAACCACAGGCTATGAAATTTGAGGGGAACATTCCTGCAAATTGGAAGAGATTTAGAAGCATTTTCGAAATATATGCGGAAGCCACCGGATGTTACGCAAAAGGTGACTCAGTTGCAGTAGCCACTTTTTTACATATTGTAGGCGAAGAGGCACGAGAGATTTTTGAGACGTTCGAATTTGAAGAGGACGACGAGCGAAAGGACATAAAGAAGGTTATAGCCAAATTTGAGGAGTATTTTGTGCCAAAAGTAAACCCGAGTGTCGAGAGAAATAAATTTTATAACAGAGTACAGGAAAAGGAAGAACCATTTGATACGTTTGTAACAGATCTAAAAAGAATAGCTGCAGACTGTGCATTTGGAGAATTTAAGCAGGAAATGCTGCGAGATAGGATAGTGTGTGGAGTCACAGATGCAAGAGTAAAAGACAGACTGCTAAGGGAGAAGAATCTGACTCTTGGAAAAGCTATTGAAATTGGTAGAGCAGCAGAAGTAACGGAACAACATATGAAGAAGATGTCAGAAACTCCACAAAAAATGGTGGAAGAGGTGAAAGTAAATAGAAAAACACCGTCTGCAACAAAACAAGAATGGGGAAATTTAGGAAATTCAAGGAAAGGTCAAATCCAATGGGGACATCAACGGGTCAGCTACCAGGGTAAAAAGGAGCATCAGAATGGAAATAGGACAACTGTGGACTGTTATCGATGTGGTCGCCAACACCAACCACGTCGTGAGGAATGCCCAGCCTCAGGTAAACAGTGTAAAAAGTGCAATAAAACAGGTCTTTTTGCGCGGATGTGCAAGTCTAAAATGGGAGACACAGCAAACTCGGTACATAGGAGTGTGCATGTAGTAGATAATTCTAAAACTGCTAGTTCTTACAGTTATGTAATTGATTCTTTACAGGAGCAGTATCAAAAACCTAGAGACTGGTATCAAAAGCTTGGTATTAAAGAATTTGACTGTGAAATTAACTTTAAACTTGATACTGGTGCTCAGGTAAATGTAATACCGAAATATTTGTTTGATAGAAATAACATAAATTGTCCACTGAGTAAAGTGAATGTTAGCATAAATAATTATGACGGGTTTCCACTACAGGTATTTGGATCTTGTAATCTGACAATTGTTCACCAGGGTCAAAGCTACACTCTTGAATTTGTAGTAGTAGAAACAAAGTCAAGTGCAATTTTAGGGCTTTCAGCACTCATTGAGCTTAATTTAGTTAAAAGAATACAAACACATTCGACTGTAAATAACGTGGAAGTTAATAAATCGGTATTATTGTCAGAATATAGTGACGTGTTTGAGGGTTTAGGTCAAATTAAAAAGAACCCATGCGATTTCACATTAAAAAGTAATTATGAGCCGAAAATAGTACCTTGCAGGAAAGTACCTTTTAGACTCATGGATAAGCTAGAAAATACATTAAAGAGAATGATCAAAGACGAAGTAATTGTGGAAGTTCGTGAACCGACTGAATATGTTCATCCTATTGTACTTGTAAATAAGCCAGACAACGAAGTTCGTATTTGTCTAGATCCACAAAATCTTAACAATGCGTTGGCCAGAGAGCACTATGAAATACCGACATTTGAAGAAGTTACAAGTGATATGTCAGGTTCAAAAATATTTTCAACTCTAGATGCAAACAAAGGATTTTGGCAAATCACTTTGACTGAACAAGCATCTAAATTGACAACATTTGCAACCCCATTTGGCAGGTTTAAATTTTTACGTCTTCCCTATGGAATATCCAACGCTCCAGAGATATTTCACCGCACGTTCACGGAAATTTTTCAGGGTATACCCAATATTAAAATCTACATTGATGATATAATTTTATATGCTAAAGATGAAAGGGAACATGATAAAATTCTCAAGTTAGTTTTAGAAAGAGCTAGAGAGTTTGGAGTTAAATTTAACAAAAGTAAGAGTAAATTTAATCAGAAAGAAATAAAATATGTGGGACACATACTTAGTCGAGATGGAATCAGAGTTGATCCGAGTAAAATAGAAGCAATTAAACAAATAAAACCTCCGAAAAATTGTAAAGAATTGTCTCGATTTTTAGGTATGATAACCTATGTCGCGAAATTCATTCCGAATTTGACTCAAAAAACTAGTAATTTACGTCAATTGCTTAGAAAGGATACCCATTTTGATTGGAATGAGACGCATGAACAAGATTTTAATAGTTTGAAAGATATCCTAACTAGTACTCCAGTATTACAATTTTATGATAATAAAAAAGAGATTGTACTGTCAGTAGATAGCAGTAAAGATGGATTAGGGGCAGTAATATTACAGGATGGATCTCCAATCGCTTATGCTTCCAAGTCCTTAAATGAAACTCAGCAAAACTATGCCCAAATAGAAAAAGAAACATTGGCAATAGCCTTTGGATGTCAAAGGTTCCACCAATATCTATATGGGAAATCTTTTGTGGTAGAAAGCGATCATAGACCACTAGAAACGATTTTCAAAAAACCACTAAATAAATGTCCTCTAAGAATCCAAAGATTGAGAATAACTTTGCAAATGTACGATCTAGTTGTAAAATATAAGTCTGGTGCTAAATTATACTTTGCAGACACACTGTCTAGAACCCATTATGATGATAAGAATTTTGAAGTCATAGAAAATAACGTAGAGTTACAAGTCAACTTTATTAAATATGCGGAAATTAGCCCAGAGAAGTTTGAAACGTTGCGAAATGAAACAGCCAAAGATTTTGAGTTACAAATACTGAAAGAATTCATTATAGACGGATGGCCGACAGGGAAAGGAAATTTACCGGATGTAATTAAACCATACTATAAGTTTCGACACGAATTAACAGTAATGACGGATTTAATATTTAAGAATGATCAGATCGTGATTCCTAAATCCATGCGTAAAGAAATTATTGAGAAACTGCATTATGTGCATTTAGGAATAGAAAAAACATGTAATAAAGCTCGTGAATTAGTGTATTGGCCATTAATGATCACACAAATAACTGACAAAATAAAAAATTGTTCTGCATGTCTCAAATACAGTAAATCGAATCAGAGAGAAACACTGTGGGAAAAAAGTGTGCCAACCAGACCATGGCAGAATGTTTCAGCTGACATGTTCTATTTTGATAACGAAGATTACTTATTAGTTGTAGATGAATTTACAAAATACCCGGAAGTCATATGCATGCAAAGAAATACTACATCTAAGCGTGTAATTAATGAAGTCAAGTCAATTTTTGCTAGACATGGGAAGCCAGACATTTTGTTTTCGGATAATGGCTCACAGTTTATTAACAACCATTTTCAGAAATTTTTAAAAGATTGGGAAATTTTGCACAAGACAAGTTCGCCCAAATATCCACAATCTAACGGGCTAGTTGAAAGGCACATACAAACAATAAAGAAGTTATTTTTAAAAAATTTGCATGATGGTAAAGATCTTTATCTAACGCTACTAGAATACAGGAACACACCAATTAGCAAACATTTACCATCCCCAGCAGAATTGTTGTTTGGTCGTAAAATCAAAGGATTAGTACCTATTAAACAGTCACTCCTAATACCCAAACATAGTATAAAGCAACACCATCAAAATCTTTGCAGTCAGAAACAAACTCAGAAATACTATTACAACAAGTCCAAGAAAGCAATGTCAGAATTAAAATGTGGTGATAAGGTGGTGGTGCAGGATCCAGTTACCAAGCGGTGGGAGCCTGGTGAGATTATAAAACAAGATAGTTACAGGCCAAGAGCGTACCATGTTAAATTTCGTAGTAATGGCAATGTATTAGTCCGAAATAGAAAGTATTTAAAACGGGTAGATAGGAACACTTTTCAAACTAATGTACAAGCAGGTGATCAAAACAGGCTATTTGATCAACTGCTAGAAGACAATTTAGTTTGGGAGGACACGCAATCGGTTCCAGCTCATGTACCTGAAACTGAAACCGTGAGTAATAGTCCTCAAGCAACCATAGCGCAACCCAAGGTCAACCAAAGACCTCAGCGGAACAGGCGAGCACCATTAAGGTTTCGCGACTACTATGTATAAATTGTAAATAGATATAAGTAGTTGTAGTTATTTTTTTATATAGAAAGGGGGATGTCATAGGAATAGATTTGATGCCACACAGAGATGTAGTGTGGGTGGCGTACGTGTCACGAGATGGTGGGGAGAAGAAGTTTTAAGTTAGAGATAGAGAGCATTGTACAGAACGGTAATCAAGAATATTAAGATTTGTTAGTTAAATAAATGAATTATATAGTTTATGGAGTATTTAATACCATAACACTAGCGTTGGAATTTCGTGATTTTACCGCCTCGTTCGTCGCCTCTGATAAATGTCACTACCTAGTAAAATGATGAAACGTTCTTATGTACGAGAATCTGCTTACAGTAAACTGAGGCCATCTTTAAATATTTCTTGTTGGGACGGCTGAGACAAGTGATACACAATATTCTTATGCCTATGGGCCTATGTTATTTTTACACTGTAATAAATCGTGTGGTGAAATAAGGAAGTCACAAATTCTTGTTAAAAGTATACCTAAATCAACTACATGTAAAGTACATTTTTTTTTAGGTACACCACCTATTTCTTTGTGTTGGTAGAAGAAAATTTTCCCTATACATCTAGTAATTTTTGTATAGTGACAGTGGCAAAACTGAATGTTTTGTTGTGGATTACATGAGATGCCTCTGTTCTCATATTGTACTAGAAAAAACTTACTTTAGGTACGATCTTTTACAATCACACGGTATAATTTTAAATTGGTTAATGGTTATATAGAAAGTAAAGCTTGGTTAAATACCGTTGCATGATATACAGAGTGTAGAGGACTGTCACTCGATAAACGATAGTTTAATTTGCGTATATCAATATTGTACACAGTGTAGGGTAACATTTTTTTGAATTCTGAACTTAATAGATGGTGACATTAATAAATGTAAAAATGTATGAGACTTCAAATTTAGAAATTATTTTTAACGAAGAGGTCAACACTTGGAGCTGAAGATTTATCACAATTTTTAAAAGTGTCTGGTAGTAACAACGGAAAACGGTGAGTATCCAAGAAAAATTTTGTATTTTCTGTCATGAACTAAATGTGCTATAGGTCATTTTTAAAGGAGCGAAAAAATATTATACGACTAAACATACACAAAGTAACTATAACATTGATCGTATTTATTATTTCAAAAAAATGTGCAATCATAAATTATAAATTACAACAAATGATAACAATTGTAGGTTATAAGATAGTGTGATAAATTGTCATTGAGGGTATGTGCCACTATGTACATGAAGAAAACAACTTGTTGATTTTCATGCAGCACTTGTTAAAATTTAACGAAATACGTTGATAGTGAAAACTACGTGTTTTTTGGGTTGCGTGATATTTTTCGCTCTGTAAAAAAATTAACTATAGAATATATTTCAAGTTTTCAAATCGAAATTTATATTATATATATTACGAAAAATTCGTATCCAGTGTATTTTCCTGAATTTGGGAATATACAATATACCTACTGTTGAATTTGAGATAGTATAGACAGAAGTTCATTGACAATTTTCGTTGGCCTGACAAAAACAGACAATTGCGTGTGAAGATGATCCGTGCAGTTAATGTCTTTGTAGGGAAAGTTGGATGAGTTGTTTAAAAACTTCAACAATGTATGATGTTCATCAAACAACATTAGCAAAGAAGTCACTCAGAACTTGAGTAAAAAACCTGCATTTTCCATAGAAGTACAGTGGTAAAACCTATTTGAAAGCTGCTGCACTAGTAGCCGTTGTGAATGTCTTTAGAAAAATTGAACTTTATTGTGGTGTCCTGAATGAAATTTAAATTTCGCGCTGATACCGAATTTGAAAAATTAAAAATACGTAAAATAAGTCAATAACGTAGACAACCATGTATTGGGGAATGCCTCCGCCGACTTTGTACGAGCAGGGGGATTGAAATGTTGTTCGAGTAGATTTTTAAGGTTCTCTTGGTCATTTCTTGTGGAGCAATGCTTGTTGAAACGTGTGTCAAATTTTGGTGTGTAGAATATTGTTTGTAATTTCGCAAAAGGGAAATTTTGATTATTCCATTACACGTTAATTTTTGTCTCTAGTGCTCGTAAATTCACAGATCCTTTATATTTTTATCTGTTTATGGTTCTAAGACAATTTAATTACAATCGTGCCAGGAAATTCAATTATTCTAAGTACTGGATGTTTTTACTTGAGTTATCACATTATCCCCAATTCATAAGTGTCGCACTCGAGATTTATAATAGTTCATTAATGGCGTTTAAACGAATCCTATTAAACATTTTAATAGAGACCGGTCCACGATGTACACTTTTTGAATTTTATTTTCATTTGACCTATAACTTTAATTAGTGCATAATTTAACCTGAAATATATTCCTTGTTGTTTGAAATTGTTGCTAAAGTGTGGAGTAATTAAATATGTTGCTTCCTTCATCTCTTTTAATTCTAAAACTCTTTCAGTTATCGTTAGAAATTCGAGAAAAAGAGGATTTTAATTTTAAATAAACATAAAAGTACCAGATCCCGTGGCGAAAGCGGAACACACTGTGGTGACCAAATTTGAATTAAAATTTCGCGCACAAAAAAAACAGCGAAATCGCATTTGAATAATTTGAATTAAAAAAAATTAATCAAGAAAAACGTTAAACATAGGCAACCATGTGCACGTTTAGTTTTTTCTGATACCTCGTAGTTCTGCTAGGGAATTTTAGTTACAGGTTTGCTAGCGAGAAGATCGCTGGTTTAGTACAGGGTCATGAGGCGTCACTTTTGGTTTATTTGTTATGAGTGCAACCATGTGGTGAGTTAGCTAAGTTAAGTTCAGTTGGTTTGGTAGTTAATAAAAATAGGGAGCCTCTGTTTAACGAAAATTAATCGTAACGACGACGACGTCACAGTTTCTCCAACACGAGTGGCTAATTCTTGCAGTTTTTCGAAGCGGAAATATGCGAATTTTCGATCGACGTTAACACGTGGTGTAAACTGTTTTATTGTATGTAAATTCACAGTTCATGTTAGGATTTTAATCGTTAACTGATTCTAACAAAATTTAACAGTCAGGAGTTGTTTAGATACAGCACTTGTTAGAAGATTTCATGAAATTCAGTTAGTCAGGACTCACCCTTTGTTTATCAGATTATATATAAGGTTTCTGGATGCTTATACTCAAGTGTTACATTATAACGAGAGAGTATGGCGAATTTAAATGTTGTTTATTGCTCCTTTTTGAAACTTTAACACTTGTTCGGTTGTAGTTTAATATCAGAGTCATAGAAAGTGAACATTTAAATGGAATTGAGGTAGATAACACAGAAACACGTGGTGGAAGCGGAGTGCGCAGTTGCTTGTCGAGCTGGCGGTGGCGCCATCTGCACAAAGGATGCAGTCCTTGGACAGAAGTCAGGGGAACGATCGGGATGACCTGACGCTGTCAGCTTATTTATCACCGTGATTACCAACCACGCGCTCTGGTACCGGTGCAATTGCATAATTTTTTATTAAAATTTTGTTCTTTTGTTGACTACCATAATTTAAATTTGCCACCACACGCCCGTAATAACTTGTGTATTTGCATCCAGTTACTTTAATTCAGATTTTTCTTTGTTTTTATTAAATTTGTGATATTCAAATATTTGCATTGATTCAAAACGTTTAATTTGATTTTATTCAAAGTTAGGCAAGTTTTTTTTGTAGCTGAGCATTAAGAGGTGTCACCAATTTTTTTTGTCATTTTGTATCCTCCACATATTTTGTGTTTTATTTAGCGGTACTTTTCCAACCTTGGGGGTCCACCACGTGCATCTGAACGCATTCCACTACAAAAAAAAAAAACACACACACACACACAACGTAGGTTCCATTTTGTCAGACGATCACAACCAAGGCCCAATTTTTGAATTTTTCACGGGCTTCATTTTTTCTCTCACATGTCAATTTAAGGCGGGATGTTTGAGTTATCACAGTACCTATTTACATTTTTTCATTCCCTTGACATATCTAAGCTCATGCATTAGTGTTTTCAACATGGCTGAAGATCACTGAAATGCAGTGTTGGGAAATCTATTCATAAAAAGTGCAGTGTCACTTCCATCTCTTTGATACTCGTTGTCCATACTTCGTATTTGAAATGCGATTGCGCAATGCGCACATCATTATTAAAACATTTTATCACAGTATAGATATGTTCTCTGGTATAGAGGTCTCTATACTGTGATGTTATTGAAGTATTCGCAACCACCAATACACTCCATATCATAATTTTATTTAATTGTAAATTACACTAGAAAACAAAGTGTGTTCCATTTTTGCCCGTCACTTTAGTAGTACAGTAGTATTGTAAAATAAAGCACAGATGTTGAAAATAAGTCTATTATTTCAAAAATCAAATCTTCTAAAGCCAAAAAATTCGAATTTGTGGATCTGTTCCCAGAGTTTTTATTGTGCATAAAATTATAAAAATTACAAAAAAAAGCCGTAAATTCATATCTGTATTTGTGACAGTTGGAACGATTTTATAATAACCAATAACACAATATTAGTAACTAATAATAGTATAATTATAATAATAACAACGAATTTTATTATTTATGGAATCAATCACTAATAATGATTTAATTAAGGAACCTCTCAAAGTTAACGTCATCAGCTGACAACTCGTATTTATGATAAGATTTTATCAGTGTCTAAAAAATGTCGTTGACTGATAGAATCACATTACTTGTTAATTCTAAATTAATCTGCTCTCAATATCGATTTTAAACGTATTTCAGCTGTAATGGAAATAAGTTACTTCTCCTAAGTATATCTGAATCATTATATGCATATGTACCTATATAAGTTAAATAAGTTAAATGCACTAAGATAAAATTCGTAGTCAGTTTCCTGGTTATAGAGAAAGTTTTCTTGAATTGTTAACATTGTTTTTCCTTACTTTTCCTTCATTGGGTTTGACTTCATGAGTGACATAATCATTTTGTTAACGTGTTTTGAGATTATCGATAATTAATAAATATGTTTTCAGTTTATAAAAAATCAATTTCTTTTTTAAACTGTGTTAACTGTGTGAAAATCTGTTAAATACTGATCATAAATATTTGTGTGGAGTAAGAGGTCCTACCGTACAAATTATAACGCGTCTTCAGGGGTTGCATCAATTATTGGAATAAAAACAAAAAAAAATGTTTGCAGGGGTACGTAATAAATATTGCACAATTTACGGCAGATCAATAAATGACACTTTGAAAAAATAAATCACATGTTTTAAAAATTATAAAGGTACTTCTACCGCTATGGAAGCAGACGTTATTTTAGAAGGATTTAGGAAATCAGTTGCTTTGTATGGCCTAATTTATGGCAAAATAATAGCCGACGGAGACAGTAGTGTCTACCATAAATTATTGTCATCATCTCCATATGGTCCACAATTTCATATTCAAAAAATTGAATGTAAAAATCATATTATTCGCAATTACGTATCTAAATTAACGGAACTAAAAAATAATACCAAATATATGAAAAAGCAATGAGACATTCTAAGCGCTAAAATAGAAAAGTTGTGCATGGCGGTGAATTCATCTATTTCATTTTGGACAGAAAATAAAAATCATTTATTCGAAGAGAGAGTACTAATGTTACAAAAAGAAATCGAAAATGGTCCCAAGCATACCTTTGGAGATCACACTTTTTGTAATATTAGTGAACATTCTTTTTGTACTGAAGAATCTGTAAAAAAAAGTGGAGCCTGGAGAACAAAATCTTGTCCCACTGTTGATGGATAATGGATTTTTTGATGAAATTTTGTTTCGAACTAAAAGGGTGGTAGATAATGCGTGGAGTTTATTACACAATGTTACCAACAACTTATCGGAATGTTATAATTCTGTAATCAGTAAGTATGTTGGCGGCAAAAGGGTGAATTTTTCTTTAAAGGGTGCTTATACGACCAGGTGTTACGGTGCAACCTTATCGTACAATTCCGAAAAAGATATGTATCATGAAACAATCCAACAAAAAACGGCCAGAAAAATATTGTTCGTCTATAAAACAAGCTTGTCTTAGACAAAGTATTCGTAAAAAAAATATACGTATGCTGGTTCCGACTGCGATTATGGTTTAAATATTTTAGATAATCTTAACATGGATGTAGAAACATTTGTGACAGCCAAAGAGGTTTTTTTGAGAAAATTATTTTTGAATTTAGACCAAATTGAAATAGACACTAGGCAACAGGCACTCTCTAACACTTGGGCAAAAGAAAGAGAAATTAGGGTTACGGCTTCAAATTTTGGACGGATTTACAAACTTAGACCGACTACAGCAACAGCTAAAACTGTGGAGTCTCTGTTGCACAGTATACATTTAGAGGTAATAGTCATACGATACTATGGAGAACAAAATGAGGAAAAAGCTGTCAAGTGTTTTGAAATAAATAAAAGTATAAAAACTGAACGGTGTGGCTTGGTTATTTCAAAACAATTTTCTTACTTGGCTGCTAGTCTAGACAGGGTTCTAGAGGATAGGAGTGCATTAGTCGAAATTAAATGCCCTTCAAAATCGCAAGATTTGTCGCGCGAAGAAGCGGTTAGAAAAAAAATAATCAAATTTTGTACATTGACAGACAGAGAATTGAAACTAAAAAAATATCATGATTACTACTTTCAAGTCCAGGGACAAATGCTTGTTACGGGTATTTCACAAGTTTATTTTGTTGTGTGGACACCCAAAGGAATAAATATAGAAAAAAATTATAAAGACGAAGAGATATGTAAAAAGATGGCAGATAAACTTGGCAGATTTTACTTTGGCGCATTATTGCCCGAAATAATTGATTCAAAAAGAAAGAGGAACCTGCCTTTGCGAGAGATTTTTTTAAAATAAATAAGATTTGTTTGTATTTTTTTATGTACTATAATAATTTATTAGGAGTACATTTTTCATCACCAAGACTTGGATATTTTCATTCTAAATATATTTTGAAAATGATCTCTCGGCAAATGAAAACATATACGTGCACTTTTTTCGAGTAAACAATGAGGGGAGAAGTTACTGGACGTAGGGCTTTTTTAAAACACCTCTTTTCTGGGATAAGTAGTAGATACACTTAGCTACTTATACGTGTTAAACAAAAGCTGTATTTTATATATTTTTTATTATTATTATAAATATGTTTATTAGTTTTATTAATTAAGAAAGCAAAAGTTCCCCAGTTTTAATTCGGTTTTATGATAGTACCTCATTGCGTAAAAGTTAAATTCCTTAATAATCGATTACTACGGCCGGTCCTGGCGGCTTGTTATAAAACTGAGTCCCTTGCTATAAATTAGAAAAATCAGCCGGGAACGCTAACAATCAGCTTATGGTAGAGCAGGCGATAACGGTTTTACCTGGAAAGTCGTTTCCGTAAATTTTAGTGGCGCTCCTATCGGCAAAGTACTGAACTAACGGCTCAAATTCTGTCGAATTGATACCCATTTTTTTCAATAATTGTTAGTTTTTGTTAAAAACTCTGCTAAGCAATAGATCAGTAATTTTCCTCTGATATTCCTGTTAAAATTATTCGACGTATCTTGCTTTAATTTGTGGTATATTTTAATTTTAATAAACACATTATATATTTAAACAAATTGTACCACTAACAAACATTTAATGACTCGGCGGCCTGTAAAAAGTGATGCTTTGTCCATGTGCGAATTTTCAAGCCATTCTATGATGGTTATGACTCAAAAAACTTGAAAAGAAAACATACAATGGTGCTTTTTTACAATATTTCTCAGCCATATTTTTTTAATTGATTGAACTGGTCTCTGCGCTCTAGAATATGAAAAAAGCTGCAGTTTGGTGTATTATACATCTATTATTAATATTATTTTTTCATACAAAAAACCAAAAAAATCTTATACCTCGTCTAACGAGTCCCCTTAACCAAAAGTTTTGTTAGTTTTCTGAAACCAAATTTGAGTTTCACTGTTTTAGCAGTTTGTTAAAAATAACAGTACGGAAAAAGAATCATGATTAAATTTTGTCTCAAACAGTCTTTTTAAACAGTTCCACAGGTTGTTGACTTTTCTTAGCAATAAAAAAAGACTCCAGTTTAAGATGTGTTGTGTGTAAGTAAAAAAAGTCTTAGAGGAAATTTAAACAGGTACGATAATGCAATAAAAAGACTACTACAAATAACTGTGTTTGGTTGTTAAAGCAAAATTTAAAAGACGTTCAAATATACGGTGTAATAAAAAAGTGAGTAGAGAAATTTTTTTCAGCATAACCAGTTTTGCCAAATAAAAATTAAATATTTTATGAAAAATTGTGAAACTTATCCTCTTATGGAGGATGCAATGTAAATAAATTTCCAATTAAGAGTTAATTATATAACAGTTGCTGCTTCTACCAATGTAGGTACTTATGAACAAGTGTTCAGTATCAATAAGATCAATAGTTTCCTTTATTGGCCCCCTATTATTGTTTCCAAGAGCAGGTATTCTATTTTCTCTTAATGGAACGATCTTTCTTTTTTAGTAATGACCATTACAAAGAAAACGATTCGTTCCCCCCTTCTCCTTGTACATAGTATTTTATGTTTTCCAGTAAACACTTAACAAAACACTTGGTAACCTATTGTAAATTTTAAGTTTACAAGTACTGCCTTATCTCATCTGTTTCAAGAACTCAAAATGTAGCAAAAATTAAATTTATTCATCTTATCATATCTTCAAGACAAGGGCGCATAAATTAAGCTACCACATATTTAGCTTGTATATGTACATGCTTGTCTCATAAATTTATGGTTTCATAGTTTCAAAATAAGATACTCAAATGTATTATTCATGCTCTGCGATGGTTCTATTCGAAACAACGTTTTCACATTTTTGTAAGGAAAGTTTCTTTTATTTAGAATACGAAAGAAAAATGACAGCACGACAGCTTTAGATTTTGCGACTGTTTAGTGGGTGGAATCACTAACAATTGTAAAAACAATGTTCCATTGTTTGACAAGGTCGCTCCAAAAGCGTGCTCAGCCGCGGTTTCCCCATCCCCACCCCACTTAAGTACACTTACCTACTTCCAAACGTAGCACTTAGATAATGCAAATTCAGCAGATAAATAATAATAATAAAAGCATGGCCGATCCTGCAGTGAAAGCGCAAAATATCTGCTCAAAATTATCCCAAAAGTGAGTACATTAATATTGCGTTGTTAATAAACGTGTACTGTTTATCTGTGTTTACCAGGGTTGTTGAGGTTAAGTCGTTCTACAACAAACACTTTCCGACCGATCGTAGAACATACAATTTGAGGGTCCCCCTTGTGGGCTTGGTAAATATACTCATTTTTTAATTAATACTCATTAATGCGTTCCTTTTTTAGATACTGTCAGTGCTTACAATACATTTTGTAACGAATTTTTTCATGGTAAGACGGTACTTTCGTCATGAGGACACTGATAACCTTGTCAAATATCTTCTCATATTCATCTCTGCAGCGTTAGGATATGAACTCTATTACGGGTTATTAATAGTAATTTTCTGGAATAAAATAAGGAACGCACGTTAATGTGAAAATTAATTTTACAGGGGGATAGGAAGCAATTTACTCCGTGGATTCTGGGAAAATTGATAGAGTTGTGCTTTACGTTTGCGACAATTATTTATATAATTGTAGATTACTGGTCGATATTAAGATTTTGTGTTCCACAACTATGTTATGGATTGATTGTATTTGGTAAGTAGTAGTTATATTATTTAATTTATAATTAAAGGGTAATAATAAGATTAGTGATAAAAGACGTTTATGACTTAATATTTGTAGACAGTACTTAGATGTACATAAAATGAACTGAGATTGTTATTCACGCACTACGCTGCGGGTGGGGTTATCACAGTAACCAACATTCTTTAAACGTTACACATAGGTGACAAAAAAATAACTTAAAATAGGTACCACTAAGTAGTGGTGGTTAACATTTTTTCATAAAGAAGATTATTGTAGTTTGAAAAACAAAAAATGGAATTTTAATGCAATTAAAATTAATTATTTCATTCACATATGAGACTTGCATGATTATTTTTTAAAAGTACTGAATACTATCCATTTATTTACTTAATCCTAAGCCTGTCTACCGCTGAAGGTTTAAGAATGCTGGTGAAGTTCAGTACTCTTTTGGTTTTCTTTTTAGTATCCTTATTTGGGCTAAGTCTTGTGTGTTTTCACCACGTTTCGTCGCTAATTCCTTTAATATCCGTACTATCTGTTAATTTATCTATTATGTTTTTCATTTATTTTGTTCTAAAAATCTTTCCATACGTACCATTTTTTCTTTTGTCAATAAATCTATAATAAACAAAGAATTTCAAATTATTTGTTATGAAACACATCAGTGTGGCTATTATAATTACGAAAACAGTTATAAAAACCGTTGCTTTCCGTCAATAAATGTTTAATACATTTTGTTACTGAGTACTTCAGTTCAGGTTTATTGCCTTATTTAACAACAAATTAGTGAGTAATGCTCATAATTTGACTTAGTTTTACAACTTCTTACATCTATACAAAGTTGGGCGTATTTGTGGGGATTTATATATATTTCAATAAATAAATAAGCATAAATCTAATGGTGGAATATTGTAGGAATTCATATTTGTTGAACTAGGCAATAATATAAATTCGTAACAACTGAAACCTTTAAACATCAATAAAAATAATAAAAAATTATGAGACATTAATGAAAGAAAATGAATTTTCATTTAGGCTGATTTATTTAGTAAAATACGAGACATCTGCCATTATGATTTCAAAATAAAAGAAAGGTAATGGTGGGTTTTGGATCCGTTATTAATGGGCCTAATAATAATAGGTATATGATAAGTTTCACATTTATTTTTTTTTTTTTTTTTGCTTAATTGCTGTTTGTTAATGGGAGCGACCAGTTTATATTATCAGTTTATTTTTGTCCTTCATTTGACGTAATAATTTATACAAACACAAATTAAAATTATAATAGGCATTTTCTTTTAAATCAATTAACTGTAAACTGTAGGAAAAGACAATTTGACGGCTGTTGACAACTTACTTCAATTTTTAAGCCCATTATTTATTTTTCCTTGGTCTTTTATTTTATTTGTGTGACTTTTCCACATTTTCAGAAAAAAATTATCACTCACAAGCTTAATCGAGACTAAGCGAAAATAATAGAATCATGGTCAAAATTTTATGAACCAAGTTCGCATTAACCTTCTTTTTAAAAGTAAACGGGTGGTACCACTTCACAAAAGTTGGAGAACTAAAACGGTGGGTTTATTAATTTAAGCAAGCACATTTCAGTTGTTTAAGTGTACAATAGCCTTGTCAACAATCGATTATTATTTACAGTTAAATTAAAAATAAAAATGGCAAATTTATCTTGTGATAAGCACATATATAATTACATAAAACTAATGAATAGTAATCGATACATGCACAAGATGTAATTTCAAATTCATTAAATTTAAATCAATTAAAACATGTGTCAGTATTTCGGTATAAACAGTACGTTCCTTGCTTGGCGAATTTTACTTAAAAATAATTGTGAATATCTATATACCACCCGCGTTTACGGATTTTTTCACATCCGGATTTACCTACATCCGGATCTTTGGGTCTTGTCCCGAGTCCCGGTCTGGGTTCGAATAATAATAAATTAGTCTATCTGAATGCGGATCGCTACCCAAATCTAAAATATTTATCTTTATGGATTATTTTAAAATTTAGATCCAGATACACTGTTAAAAGTTTCACAAGATCAAACACTTCAGTTTGCTGACACGATGTTTCCAGTAGTGGAAAAGTAAGAAACAAAAAGTAATTATTAGACCGCTATAGCCCACCAACCCAATCCCACTATATACAGGTGTCCCAGATAAAACTCCCCGCGCTTATATCTTGAGAATGGGTAGCAATATGGATGATCGTTGTATAATGTACTATTAAATTAGTTTATTGAAAAAGTTGTATACACAATCTCAGTTTCACTTATAGTTTTTTGTTGATAATGAAATTTTCCTGTTGCAGCACTAAATGGCCTTGTCACTTACGTCGTGACATCCACGTCCTTAAGGCAGTTTCGTGGACATGGACGCAAAACTGATATTCCTGAAGAGAATATTTATGAAGCTTATGATGATGCCTAAAGATTTTATTAAAACTTTAACTTTTAATACTTACTGTACTGAATCTTTGTATAATCACTTGTAATTATTTGTGTACAGAAATAATTATATATTATATATTCTTTAATAAATAATTTAATTTTAATACAGTGCAAGTAACAGACGTATTAACGTGTGGCCTAATAACAATTGGAAGTTGGGGGCCATTAAAGAAATAAAATGAAGTCTAAGAAATCAAAATGTATGACCTATTTTAAGGTCACAATATTGTACCCCTAAAACTTTGAAGTGGATTTGACTAGGGATTTGAACCCTAGAAGATTTGAATCAACTCTGTACATAAATTTAAACGATTTACCATTCATAAATCTTTTAAATATCACTTTTTATTAGAATTTATTTTGAGAAATCGCGTCGTGGCTTCAGTTCCTTGAGTAGGTTTCAGCAAATTAATAGCTACGGATCTAAATTTCCAGATGACGATCTACGGATACGATCTGAAACAACCATTACATTTTTTTTTTTTTCATCTTTTTAAGTGCAAATCCGGAACTTCGAAATTTGCAAGTTCGTAGACCGCTATATACTTGGTGCATATAAATTATTAATTGAGTTTGGAACAATTATGATCACTTTTGGCTCATCGCACATCACAAAATATCAAGATTAAGCATATGTAGGGCAATTATGAATTATAATCTGCTTTATTGGTGTCTCATATCGTACAACGGCGAATCCTACGCTTTAATACAAGCTAATCCACCGATCCTCGTTATTACACTTTTACAGCAACCAAAAAAGTAGAGAAAGTTATTTTTGATATGTTCGGTTTATTATCCATCAACACCCGTTTGAAGTCAGCGAATGTATTCAAGGAACCACTGACATCAATATTTTCTTTCACAGACGGTGCGGTTTTTACCAATGAATCATTCGACCACAATGATTTATACGTTTTTTTTTCATTCAAAGCAATAAATCAGCAGGTGTGTTTCCGGAGTTTTCTTAATGTTCTAACGAGAACAAGAATCCTTGACACGCTTATATTACTTTTTATAAAATGCCCTAAATTTCTATGCCCTCGTCGCAAATTAATTTTCACATTTTCTAATTTTCCTTGAATTCCTTCTTTGTATCAGGCGCGAGTGACATCAATAAACCACATTATGTATCCTGGGTGCGTGGGTATGTCCAGAGCGGAAGTGTTGAAATGATAAATTAGACAAGGAAAATATGGTCAAACGATAAAACCTTTTAAGAGCAAATAAGGAAAATATTTATAAAAATTGGTCTAAGATTACTTAGACCGAATTTCTCTCGCCCCTGAAATACAGCTGAATAAATACCGCTTCTTCGAAAAATTATAAAATTTGATTTTGTGAATTTTATTTTTTTATAATAACTCTTGTAAGTTAAAATAAAGATACGTATGGACTGTACAGGTAAGGAAGCATCCTATGCATGGTTTTCAAGTGAGTTTTGGAATGACAAAATTTTGTGATGACGTCTTAAAAATTTATGAAAGTATATCAATTTGGATTTTCTGGAAATTGGTATTAGAGTTTTTCTTTTAATCATTAAAATATATAAAATGCTTCATTCATCAATTTTTGAGTCTGATAAACCGCAAGCATCAAACAGACTTATAATATTTTACACATTTTAAACAAGACTTATTCACCAAAATTTTTACTATATCAAGTTCTTGTGGGGTCACACAGGTTAAACAGGTAAAATTTCTCATAAAATTTGTATTTTTCCAAAACGCTGGATGTCTACGGTAAACCACAAGTAGTAGTAGTAAATAAAATATACATTGGTATTTACTGTGTAAAATTCTGAAATATCGTCTTCAAGTTGTTGATGGGGATGATCACACAAATTTTGGATAGGGTTTTAACCTTAGGGATAATCTGTCTCACAAAATTGCCAACAGACTGCAGACAGACAGAAGGAAATGGGAGATCTATTTTATCATATTCTAGCTTACATTTAGGAAGTAAAACTAATCTACATTACTTAGACTTAGACATATTTTTCCGTAGTCTTAAGCACCTAAATAATATTTAAATAAGACTATGGCAAACACTGAGATATGATGGCAATTTTTGATCCAACATTTTTTCAGTTTGATGTCAAAAAGTTAGTAGCGTCACAAGTAAAATTTAGATATTGGCTAGAAAAATAATAATTTCGATAATAATTAATGTTGATTGAATTATCATATTATTCTTTAATAAATGAGACACAATAATCATTTATTTAAGTTAAAATTTTACGAAAATATACTTTGGAGTATTTAAAATAATTCAATCAACAAAATATTTTTATTTTGAGACTCAAAGGTCTTTGTTTAAATTTAGCACCAAATCTCGCATTGCGTGGCTTTTGCTAGACTATTTTAGTTTCTGCTGTTCCCTTATTTGATTTTTTGTTCTTTTACTGTAAATTTTTAAACGGTGCACACTCTTTGTAGACTTAATTTTTACACTCCAACTGGGAGGAAATTTTATCATGTGATAAACTGCATCGGTGCTAACTGCCTTCTTCATAATTTGTAAAACATTACCAGTGCAAAAATTTCAGTTAATCAAATGTTGCTTCAAATTAATGAAATAAAGTTGGTACTTTCAGAACCGTAGTGCCGTGAAACATCTTTACATTCTTTTAAAGCCACAAACTTTGTGTAAATTCTAATCGTATTTTCCTTAAAACCTAAAGCAGCTAAACAATTTTTACTATTTTTTCGAGTTTTCATACTTTTGAGTACATACCGCTGGAACTTAAAAAAGCATTCCTGTTTCTTACAGAAAATTCGTTTCTTTTGAAATTCCGATCATTAGGTAAAAGCAAATCTTCCTTCTTTTTGATAAATTTGTTGGCGGAAATGAGAACACCACGGAATCGGTTACTAACGTATATTACATTATGGCACATTACAAGAGAATATTCGACGAGCGTAACATAGTCGCGCTGGTAGCCACGCGGACGGTCGTACCAGAAGTGTCTAAAAATATGGCGTCTTCAAGTGGCGCTGTGTCGCTCTGCGCAATATAGCCATCTCGTGAAGGCGACTACACGAGCGAGCCTCGCACGGCCGACACTAGGTGTCGCTCCAACACTTCCCCTCGAGGTGACGGTCGTGTAAAAATGTCCACTAATCAACAACGTCAAGTCCGCACGACTTCGCGCACCTCACATGCTTCGGCTTTGACAGTCCTTTAGTTAAGAAGTCCGCAACTTGATCGTCTGTGGGCACATAACTAACCCTGACTTGTCCGTTCTTGAGAACATCGCGCACGAAATGATGGCGGATGTCTATGTGTTTGCTTCTCCCGTGGAAGGTGGGATTTTCAGCAAGCTGCAGGCAACTTCGGTTGTCGCAATGAATGACCAAGTTAGCTAGGTCGTCAAACCCCAGCTCCCGGAGAAACCTCTGCAAGTACAGACCCTCCTTGACGCACTCCGACAGGGCCATGTACTCCGCCTCCGTTGTGGATAATGCAACCGTCCGTTGCTTCTTCGCTTCCCACGACAAAGGTCCACCGTTCAAAAGGAATACATAACCGGTGTACGATCTCCGGTCCTCAGTGCTCGCTCCCCAGTCGGCGTCGGCGAATGCCCTGATTGGCCCATCGTCCGCTCCGAATGCGAGCCCCACGTTCATCGTCCCCTTCAGGTATCGCAGAACTCTTTTGGCTGCCCTCCAGTGCTCTGGGCCATAGCAGTTGTTAAACTGCCCCAGACGACTCACAGCGAAGGCGATGTCGGGCCTCGTAGTCGATGATAAGTAAATGAGCGCCCCCACGAGCTCGCGGTACGGGAGCGCGAGATCCTCTTGACTCTGGTCGATGTTTTTCTCTAGCTTCGTCCCTAGATCGATCGGCGTTGCGACCGGCTTGCAGTCAGACATGCCGAATCGCGAAAGTACGTCCTTTATGTACCCTCGCTGATGCATCGTTACCCGGCCGTCCTCTCTCTGAAACTCCACGCCCAAACAGTGCTTTACATCTCCCAGGGCCTTAATTTCGAATCGTTGGGCCAACTCTCTTCCTATTTCGGCGATCTTCTTTCGGTTGCGGGACGCGATCAATATGTCGTCCACATAGATCGCGATTAACACCACGTCCCGCCCTGATTTTAGGCGAAACAAACACGGGTCTGAGGCCGTCGGGATTGCGCCGAGCTCTTTCAGAGTCGAGTCCAACTTTGTGTACCAGTTCCTACCGGCCTGTCGTAGGCCGTAGAGCGATTTCTTGAGCAAACAAACTCTATCGCCTTTGCGCAACTCCTGGAGCAGACTGGTGGCCTTCGCTACAGTCGAGCTGTCGGTCTCGTTGTCGATGATGCTGCCAAGGGCCCTCTGAAGCTCCTTCGGCGGTTCCATGAATACTTCCTCGTTCAGCTCGCCGTTCAGATACGCAGTTTCGACATCAAACTGCTTAATTGCCATGTCGTGGCGGGCGGCAAGGGAAGCCATCAGCCTAATGGAGCTGAAACGAGCAACAGGAGCAAATGTCTCGGTAAAGTGTATACCTGGTTGTTGGCTGAAGCCCTGGGCGACTAATCTAGCCTTCCTTCTCTCAAAGGTTCCGTCCGATTTGTACTTGTTTCTGAGGACGATGCGACTCCCCACCACCTTGTCTCGCTGTGGACGCTCCACCAAAGCGAAAGTGTCGTTCTTGATGATGGACGTTAGCTCAGCCACTATGGCCCGTCGCCATTCGTCTGCATCGGGACCGCTCAGCGCCTTTTTCATTGCAACCTCGGATACGAAGCTTTGTTCGATGGCATCGACGATGTTGGCACCGGGATTCGGCACCGTCCGAAATTGTTTCCTGGGTCGGCCACGTCGACCTGTTCTTACAATTCTCGGGCGACCTGGAGCCCTCGCACGATCCGCATTGTTGTCATCGTCGATGATGTCGCGCTCGTCATCTTCTTCAGCAGTCGTCACGTCCCGCTCCGACCTATCGTTCGATTCACCGTCGGCGTAGACGCCGTCTGGGACGTCGGCGGGGCGATGGACCTCGACCTCGACCTCGATGACGTTCCGCGGGTCGTTGACCGTCGCCGGCGGCGCTCCACCAGCTGGAGGAGGGTGCACGATCTCGACCGAACGCCGAACCTCCGGCGAGGTCTCTC